AACCCAAATGGAAAACGGACGATCGCCCGCCACTCATCTGTTATTAAATGAGTCGTCACGAAGACATGGTGTGCAGGGAATTCCTTTCAGTGATTTTGTGGAGTTACCTACGACCCGCTGCAGTACCCTCTACTGTTTCCGTACGGGGATAATGGCTGGACTTACGATATCCCCTACGTTGGTAATCCCGTCGATCGCCACGGTGACCCCTTAACCATGTCCGTTCGGGAATATGCGGCGTATCTGCTTTACGACCGGACGGTTAGTAATTTGCTTATCCTGCGCGGTTGGCGACTGACGCAGCAATACTGCGTTGACCAATGGGCCAAATGCGAACAAGAACGCCTGCGCTTCATCAAGAAGAACCAGCTCCAGTATCGATTGGAAACCCTCCAGGGACTCACGGACGCGTTGCGTGGCGAGTCTGTTGAAATCCACAGAATGGCAGCTGACGACGAGGCGGCCATACGTAGGACTCGGCGTGGGAATTATACGGAGCAGGAGTCGGCGGAGCCAGATGCGGGTGAGCTTGGACGCAAGATAATTATACCTCCGAAGTTTACAGGTGGTCCCCGCTACATGTACCAACGCTTCTTGAATGCCATGGCTATCGTCCGTGAAACAGGAGCCCCGAACCTGTTCATTACGATGACATGCAACCCGAACTGGCCTGAGATCAAGGAAAACTTACGCCGTGGGGAAAAGGCATCCGACCGACCGGACATCGTGGCCCGCGTGTTCATGGAGAAACTAAAAGCTCTTAACAAGGATCTCGATGAGGGTGTGCTGGGGATTCAAGCCGCTCGAGTCCATGTAGTGGAATATCAGAAGCGTGGTCTTCCCCACGCCCACATACTCCTTATCCTGCGTCCGGAGGACAAGCCCACTAGCAAGGAAGACGTCGATAAGCTGGTGTCCTCGGAGCTCCCGGATACAGAGAAGTACCCCGAGCTGTACCATACGGTGATTTCTAATATGCTGCATGGACCCTGTGGTCAACAGAACCCGAACTGCCCGTGTATGAAGAACGGAAGGTGTTCCAAGAAGTTTCCAAAGACGCTCGCGGACGAAACGGTGATGACCCCCGACAAATACCCCACGTACAAGCGTGGTCGCCGTCCGGATGGAATTCTGTGCCATAAGGGGAAAGTATGGGACAACGCGACCATCAATCAATGGGTGGTCCCGTACAATCCGTTCCTGTCGCGGAAATACAACTGCCACATTAACGTCGAGGTTTGTGCCACGAACAAGGCCATCAAGTACATCTACAAGTACGTCTACAAGGGCTCGGACATGACGACAATCACGATTGAAGGCGAAGAAATTCGGGCGAACGAAATTCTTCAGTATCTCCTTGGGAGGTATATTTCTCCGGTAGAAGCTTGCATGCGGCTATTCATGCATCCAACACAAGGATCAGCACATTCTGTCGTGACACTACCTATCCACTTGGAAAGAATGAGCATGGTTGCTTATCGCGACCAAGCGACGACCCCCCAGCTTCACAACTTGATTAACCGCGGGGACAGATCAATGCTGACGGCGTTTTTCAAGCTTTGCGCGCGTTACCCAGAAGCTACGGCCAATCTCCTGTACAAGGATGTACCGCGGAAGTACAGATGAACAGAACACAAGACGTGGGAGCCGTACAAAAAGTACGTTGCTTCTCTGGGACGCTTGGTACACGTATCTCCGCAGGACCCGGAACGCTTCTACTTGCGACTTCCCCTGTGTAACCGACGCTCGCCTAAGTCCTTTGCGGATCTTCGAACGGTTGATGGTACTGAGCATCCTACATATCAGCAAGCCGCTTTGGCGCTTGGCTATTTGGAAAATGACGACGAGTGGATACATTGCTTACGCGAAGCCGCCGAGGTCAAGATGCCGTACCAGCTACGCCAACTCTTCGGCATCATTTTGGTTTACTCGATGCCTGGTAATGCCAAAGTTCTATGGGATAGGTTCAAGAAGGATATGTCAGAGGATCATGCACGAAGCATTGAGGAAAGAGACGCAGACCTGCATAATGTACGCGAAGAGGAGGTGCGTCTTCGAATGGCGGAGTACAAGGCGTTGAAAACTTTGGCTGATTACTTGGTTTCGAACCAAAAGTCCCTCGACATGTACGGCCTTCCTCTGCTAGCCGATTACGACGATGTATCCGCTTAAGTAGACGACCCGAATTCAGCGTCTGTTGATGTTGTCCAGCAAGAGATTGACGCTTACCCCCTAAACGAACTGGAGCATGTTGCGGAGCAGGCAGACCACTTGAACAGCAACCAGAGGGATATTTTTGACCAAGTTATTGCTACTGTGAGCAGACCGGTTGGAGGGGAGAAGCTTTTCTTTTTGGATGGTCCGGGTGAAACAGGAAAATCGTTTCTACTCGAGCAAATACTCGCTCACGTTCGGATGCAACGTAAGGTTGCCATCGCGATTGCATCGAGTGGGATTGCAGCCACCCTGTTAACTGGAGGTCATACCGCGCATTCAACGTTCCGGATTCCCCTCAAACTAACAGAGACGTCGACGTGCAGCCTTTCATGGCAGAGCCTAAAAGCCGAATTTGATTCGTAGCGCGAGTTTGATCATTTGGAACGCTGCGCCGGTGATGAACCGAGCTTGCTTTGAGGCTGTTGACAGGTCGCTTCGGGATATCATGAAGAACGAGCTGGAGCCGTTCGGCGGAAAGGTAATGGTGTTCAGCGGTGATCACCGTCAGATTCTACCTGTACTGAAGGATGCTACGCGTGCGGAGACGATTCAAGCTTGCTTCAAGTCTTCGCCCCTATGGGAGCATTTGCGTCAAGTGCGGTTAACCGAGAACATGCGTGTCCGCACCGCCCCAGACGCGGCCAGTGCGGCTGAGTTAGCGGAATTCTCTGAATTTTTACTTCAAATTAGAGAAGGCCGTTACCCAGTCAACCATGAGATCGGTGATGGCGACATTTGCCTTCCACGCGACATGTGTATCATTCCAGAACGACGGGTACAACAAATGACCTCTGACGAAGAAGACGCGGATATGGAGCCTCCCCCAAGTTTCAGGCTACTTCCTCCGGCGGACGAGGAACACGAGCGAGACTTGGACGAAGTTGAAGAAGACCGACGAGTCCGCAACGTCAACGCACTCATAGATGCGGTGTACCCGGGCGTTGATACTGAGAATTTACCCGATGAATACTTCGTTGAGCGAGCCATACTAGCCCCTACAAATGCAAGTGTTCGGCGTATCAACGACATGATTGCGGAACGGCTATCGGGTGAAACGAAGGAGTATCTCTCGGTGGACAGCCTCGAAGGGGTCGCGGATGCAAATATGTTTGAGCAGGAGTTCTTGAACTCTCTTAACTTCTCTGGTATCCCTCCGCACAGGATTGTTCTGAAGGTTGGAACACCTATCATCATGATTAGAAACCTGAATAGCGACGCAGGACTTTGCAATGAAACGCGGCTTCGGGTTGTGTCACTGCGCGAGAGAAGCATCGAGGCCAGCATTATGTCCGGGCCGTTCAAGGGTAAGAAGGTGTTCATTCCTCGGATCGTCTTTAAAGTGAGGACGATAACAAGGAGTTCCCGTTCAAACTCAAGCGTAAGCGGTTCCCCGTGGTTCCAGCGTTTGCCATGACTATCAACAAGGCCCAAGGACAATCTATCCACCACGTGGGTATCTACTTGGAATCACCGGTCTTCGCACATGGCCAGCTGTATGTGGCTTTGTCCAGAGTTACTTCAAGGAAGGCGATCAAGATTGCTGTGGATCCAGAGGCCATCGATGAGGACGGGAACGTACACACCAACAATATTGTGTACAGAGAGATCTTTGGAACGCGGACTTGGTAGGTCACGTAATGCATATAATATATTTAGCTTTGATTTCGAAATGTTCTTTAATCCACCGCAGCGCAGTGGAGGCGGACAGCCCCCACTACACCAACCAACCATGCCCTAGCGTCCGCAGAGCGGGCGCCCAGACCGCTAGTAGACCTTTTTAAGCAAACGTCTTCACAGTGTATCCACCTATTAATAGCTGTAATAAGTTACTGATCAATGAACAGCCTGACGATGTATTTTATTACACACCATATTCCAAGAGGAAGGTATTAATTAAAGGCCAAGACCAATTACAGTGAAAAATCTATAATACTCGGGCCAAAGAAGCCACGGTCGTCAGAAGTACTTAGTAAGATCTTAAAAGCACAAGACACTTCAGCTAGAGTTTATAATACGATAATACCGTATTACCAATATTGTATGCAGAATGAACGCTCCCTTTCTAAGGCTTACGATACATGTAAACTGTTGTTCTTGCACACAAAATATCATAAACACCATAAGATCCCTGACAAACACCATAAAATCCAACACAGCACCAGGACAGAGACGACCCACGTCTTCAAGACGGTCTTGTTGTAAGAAGGGCTAGGTTAAATTGTCTCACCTCCCCCACCAACAGAAGTGGGCCACTCACCATTCAGTAACTCGAGCGTCGTAGGGCGGAGCACGTGGCTGAGCAGGCGTGGCCTGTAGCACACTGTAGTGCGCGTCGTCGCTGATCTACATCGCGTGTCCAGAGCTGCTTGTGTCTGGAGCTAGGGTGCGCGTCCTCGCTGATCTACATCACGTGGTCAGAGCTGCTTGCGTCTGGAGGAAGGGTGCGCGCCAGTGGTTTGTTGCACGTGATCTGTATGCTGACAGGCTTCTGGAGGTGAAGTAAAGCGTGCTGTGGGTGGCCTTCGGCTCACGACGGGGACTGGCTCGTGGCTGGAGGTTGATGGCATCGTCGGTTGCCTACCGCGCACGGGATATGCATGCTGTTGGGATCGGGGCCACTGCCCCTCTGGAATTATAAGGTAACAGCTCATTGCTCCGAATGTGATGCGAGCCTTCAAACGCTAACATATTATGTATTTGTGCTTTAGTACATTGCTTTGTAGATACCGCTAAACAAATGAAGCCATGTGAGCAAAGGAAATATTTGTTGATGTTGTTGTTGTTTACAGACGCTGCACAGTGTGACCGATATTTTGCGGGCGTCCAGCTTTTTGAACGCGCTTCCTGTTCACAAGGATTTCCTCGCCAGCCTCATCCACAACGCTTCGTGACTGCTGAGCAAACAGCAAGTGGGAGCAGTACCCCATTTTAAAGTGGTATTTGCAGGGACAGTATGCAGTCCGAAGATCGACCGGCCAGCCAGTACGAGGCTGGCCCTCAACCTCCATGCGCGCGTAGTGGACACCAAACTGAGCAGAAATCGCCATATCTTCTCTCGCGCGGTTAAGCTCTGGGACAAACGTCCTCGCGGGAGGCAGCGCGCGCACGTGTACGAGGTCAGGGTCAGCGTCGCCAAGGAGAAAGTCTATGCTGGACCTGGTAACGATGTTCTCACTCAGCAGTCCGCGGCGACGAAGCCCCCGTGTGCGTGTCTGAAGCGTCGTCGAGCAGGTGGACACGAGCGAGAACTGAGGCAACGCCATTGAGCGATGGCCACAACATGCGAGTAGCTGGGCGAGCAGCATTCCCATTTTCAGCTGGCGGTGGTGAGTGTAGTCCCGTTTCAGCACTCGGTTGAATTGCTCAACCGGGTTGCTGGTAGTGGCATACCCGGATGGCGTCAGAAAGCACTGCCAGTTTGCGAAGTTGTCTTCAAGCCATTGGGCCTTCACGTACATGGTGAAGGCAGCGAGATCCGCGTGTCCAGCCCACTCCTTCAACATAGCCGCCTTCTGGTCGACATATTCGGCATCGCTCTGCGCAAAATGCAAGTTGTATATGCCCTTGTATACCAATGCAGACATATCTGAGCTGAAACCGCGAGTACGCTCACGCAACTTCGCCACCACGTGGTAAAAGCACATAAGGTACGTAAATGAGCTGTCAGCGAAGACACTGCGGAAGGCCTTGTGTTGTGCCTTGTCCGCGTCACCAAGCACGAATTTCACTCGCCACTCTGCTCCGTTAACCCTGGCATATACACAACGCAATGCAACGAGCGCGGCCACGAAATGCTTGTACTGGAGCTGTGACGTGATAAAAAGCGCTACTAGGTGAAACGCCCTGGAGGCGTCGGTAATGCCGCAGACGAGGACTGGATACCCGACACTGTTCAGCTTGAACGTTGCGTCCAGGTGCAAGACACAGGCTCCGCTGTTTCTTGCAGCGTTACGAAGTAGCGCCTTCGTCGTCATTCCTACTAGAAACGGCCGAGCATCTGAGCCGTTCCCAACCTCAGGAAGGCTATTCGTGTCGTATGCACTAGTGAACGTGAAGGGGTCGTGGTCACCTTCACGTCCACTAAATGCTGAGGCCCTCACCGACTCCACGATCGCCTTGCGCTTGTCGTTTCCACCAAGCCGCGTGCGCCGAAAGTGGTGTACGATGTTTTGCACCTCTCGCAGACTGGGTAATTCTGCAGGAGGGAGATCAAATTTGCGTCCCAAAGCGTGCCGGATGCGTACCGGCATTAGGTTTTCACGGGCGAGTTCCTTGATGAACTCGCGACACCTCGGCGTAATGCATGACCTGGATGGCGTTCGCGCACGCGAATGATGGTCGCCTAGCTCGTGCATGTCAACGGTGTCTGTATCTTGGCAGACCAAGACCTTCATCCGCCACGTGCAGGCCAGGTAGGGAACCGCATCCGTACAGTGCTTGCAGGCGCAGCGTAGAAGCTTGTAGCGCATTGTGTGCGCATCACCGCTGGTACAAGCCGTGCACGGCATCAGCTGACTTTTGACCGTCTTCCAAGTCTTCATTCCTTGGAGAAGGAGGGCAGCGTCTTCGGACGAAGCGCCGCTGCAGAGTAGGTTCCAGGTGTGAGAGCTGGGCATCGGTGCACGACGTGAGCTGGTGGGTGGCCTAGGCAGTTGGAAGCTTGTTTGAAAGTAAAGAGCGTTCAGCTCTAGGGCGAGCTAGACCAGTCATCTTGTACTTTTGGGTACGGATGGCGTGATATGATTGGGTAAAATCATTTAAATAGAGGCATATGACTGGATGAAAAGAATCGTTTTGTGCTGAAACACACTATGGGATGATTATTTACAGATTTTTGTGTCGCCTGTGATTTTGTGGTGGGCCCGGTGTTTTTCAGTTTTTTGTGGTGGTTTTGGAACCTTGTTGTTCTTGCATCCAACTACACCTCATCTTCCTTCTGACAAAAGGTCTGGATCTGCGTGACGCCGCGCAGACGCTTGCCCCACATAATGGGGCGACGCGGACATTGACCAGGTGCACGTCAAGGCAAACACGGAAATCGGCTGGTCACCACGCAACGGCGCTGCAAATCCGGAAAGTCTCCCTTGGCACGAACGGTCCGTACGAGTTTGAAAGAGCCGTGCTACGACGGGAAGGGAGTCCCAGGAGAATCGAAGAGGCAGTGTTATCGAGTAGGGCAGATGATGAGAGAGATGTTGACAGATGCAGAGTCGTGACGGCGCAGATTACGATCAGTCACGTTACGAAAGA